TGGCAAAAATTTGAAAAATGCATGATGAGATCCCTATTTTGATGCAAAGGTGTTAATACATTCAAGGAAAGCTATATCACCTCTTTTGTTGTTGTGAAAGAAATGTCTATAAAGGATAAAACTTAAATGCATCAGGAGTAACATGAATGATTGGGATTCTCAGAGCAAAATGAGCAGTCTTATATGCCATCTGTTTTGCTGAGAATGGATGAAAAAAAAAAGCATTGAGTATTCTAAGCAAATTCATCACAAATTTCCCAGTAGGAGAAATCCAGAAATCCATTCAAGCTCCTGTTATTAAAATCTTTATATCTAAAAGAAAAATGATGTAACACTATGTAGCACATATAGTTCATCTCACCCAGCTTTGGTCAATTAAAGAAGCTGTTTGGATTCCCTTTCCTGCAACGGAGGATAAAATAAAATGTCTTCGATATATTAAGCAAATGAATGAATAAATGAAAAATCCATAAAAAGTTTGAATTAATCAGTCCTTAAAATGGCCCACTGATTATAAAGGAAATGAATATGAATAACTGAAATGTAGCTGGTTTAGACTAGGTGAGATATTTTATCACTAAACTGCTCTGGAACCACCATATACTTTTAGTTCCTCTATTTTACTATTTGATTTCCCAGAGAGATCACCACATTAAGCTTGAAAATGTATTTTAAAATCATTGCAGAATTTCTTTAGAATCGCACATCCACCTGCTGTTTATGAGATAAGCCATGAGTAGAAAAGATGACAAAAATCCTGTTGGCTGAGAACCTCAAAAATTAAGTTGAAAAACAGAAACAGCGGAAAAAAGCAATTCTTGTAGAGGCATCAGAATGTTCAGAGAAAAATTCTGCTACTTGTAGAAAAAACAAGATTACCTGGAAGTGTAATGATCTTGTCCTTTCTTCAGGTAGCAGAGTACCAGTAAGGTACAGAGAGGCTGTGAAAATGAAGATGTTCTTGGGAAAGTAAAATCCAATAAAATACACCAACCACTGTATGAAGTAAATGCAGTAAGTGAGCAAAGAATTATTAGAAGTCTTTACCAGAATCTTTTACTCCCCTGCAAGTTTTTACATACAAACCTGACCTCTCAACAGGTGCAAAGGAAAACAAAATCAGCAACACGGAGTAAGATAGCAAGGTATCCAGAGAGAAACGACTTTTAGACTCTGGCAATGCTGAGGAGTGTGAAAATCTGCTACCAAATAGGGTTTGTGTCACGGAGGATATGAATCCCATATCAGAAACATTTATCCTTGAAAAGGAATTCACGTTGATTCTATAAATGGAGATTTTTTTTTATGAGCCTGAGCTGACAACCATATGGGAACAGAAAGCTACAAATGCCAAAATGAGTCCAGGAAACCTGAATAGAAGACGCATTCAAGGTCATCCAACTAGCAAAGGAAAAACAGTGAGGCTAAAACTTCTTTTCCATTGACAAGTTCAGTCACACGGTTTATTTAACTGAACTTAAAAACTAAGAAATATACTTTAATAAACAAGCTTGTGAGTTAATGAACCAATGCATTCCTGTAGATAGAACTGTTTGGCTGAGATTGCTAAGCTGTGACACTTTTCTTCAACTCATGTGTCAGATGCCTGTATTTTCAGACCAGGTATTATTGCAGTTTCTCCTAATATTTAAAAGCCTGTGGTTTTCCGCACAGTGATAACTTGAAATTTCCAAGAATTGACTGTTTGGTGGGTTTTTTTTTTCATTCTGATTTGTGTTGCTTTCTTCTGATAAAAAAGAATATTCTTTCTGCTTTGTTTTACCTCACTACCTCATGGCCTTACTTTTCCCTAATAAAAATTCATCTTTTTTTTAATAATGTAGCTCTTAGTGCACTTGGGTACAGTAATATTTTACTGCAGTTTGCCTTTCAGACAAGTTTTTACAGGCTTCTCGGAAGGCCTTACCCTTACTGATTTTAATTCAACAACACGTTTCTGATCAGGGTGACTCGACTGAAGAATAACCTTTGGTGGACACACAATACACTGTGCTCAGATGTTTCTAAGTGGAGTTCATCTTGTGTGCCCTGGGTAATAACAGGACAGTCCTAAGTTTCCCAGCTTCGGATGGCCCTTTTCACAGGGTAACTCCTGAGAGTCCTAAAACCTGGGATGATCATTATGGCAGTGTCAGCAACCTACCATCACTCACAAGGTTGTTTGGTTTCCTTTCCACCTTCCTCCAGAGTGCCTTGAATTTAAATGTGAACATACAGCCTTGTCCTCTGTGCTTCAAGATAGAGAGTGACAGAAATACATCCAGGCTGCATCTGCTAGTCACTGGTGCCACTTCAAGGAGTCCTTCAGAGGTCATCCTACAGGAAATATACACACAAATACACACCTGCTACAGAGAGGAAGAACTTCAAGCAAATGTGAAAAAAGGGGGACAGAAGATGCCTTTCTGTAACTTTAGAAATGTTAACCCCATCGCAAATTCAGCATCCACACAGGAAAATCCAACTGCCAGCTTACTTCTGTGCCAGATGTAGAAAGTCTCTTAGGCTTTTCTCTTCAATTTAAGAGAGTACTAGCACCAGCCAGGAGACAGTGCCAGATGCAGCAAGTTTTAAAGCAAACTAATGGCGTTGGATAGTCTCCTCCTCTAATCTCAATTTAAATTAGTAGCTAGAGGCAACACACTGGGAGCTTTTTTAGTCTACTTCCTCAATAAGTAAATCAAATCTCAAATAAAATATTCAACATATGGAGGCTGAGTACAGAATGGTGCAAGTTTGAACATAGCCCTTAGCGCGCACTGAGGAAGCACTTTTCCTAAGATGCTGGAAATGTAAGCAGCTCGGTTTGACAACATGTCCAATTTTATTTGTTTTGGAATATATACTGTTCTGGAGGCATGCAAAAAACATCCAGGGCACAGCGGAGGATTTTGCTTCTACTTCTCCCTTCTCTTCTTTTTGATCTCTTGCTCTCCACTATACATACTGTATCAGCCACTATATGATCCATCCTCTTCTTTTCTGTTGGCTCCATCCCACTATGTCCATACTGCCAATATCATGACAAGCCCAAAGTCCACAGTTCCATAAACCAGCAGTTTTTATCAGAAGGAGTTAGGAACCCCCAGCACTGGCAGCAGTATCAGCCCTGGCCAACTAAGATGTTTTTAGGATGATATTCTTGGCATATGGTGGCATCTTTAACAAAGCTAGCAGTGACAACTGAAAAGCTGCTAGGTAGGTTTTCTCAGAAGGAAATTAGATGGAGTAAAGTGTGGTGATGAAAAGAATATTTCAGGACTTATTCGCATTTTCTCATCCTTTCTTAACATTTGAGAAGGGAGGAACTTGATTTGAGGGGCATGCCCCCTTTCAAGTAAGCAACACAGTGTTAACAGATCAGCCTTGTGAAAACATCTTTCCCTGTCTAACCTGACAGATTAGTTCAAAACACAAGCCCTGCCTAAATGGTCTGTTAAGCTCATCAGTAAGGTCAAAATGTACAAATGAAGGTTTAGAGAGATTCAGAAAAAAGATCTGGGTTTCCTGTCAAGGTCTTCTACTGACCAGGTGCACAGCTTCAGACATAAGCTTCTAATGTTTTGTGCAAGTAAAGCCAGACATCTATGAGATTAATACTCTACTACACCTAAAAACAATATGTTCAGCTCCAGTGCCTAAAAGACCCTCATACTGCAACATCTTACTGAAATTCTGAGGTGCTCTGCAAAAATATGTTTAGTCCTAAGGAGACATATCCATAAAACCATTCATTTCAGCTTCTGCTCTTTGTAAAATGTGGAAAATAATAGCTTTTCTCTTCCAGATACTGAGAAGTGCAGCTTTTTAACGTTTGTGAAATCCTTTGTGGTTCTTATGTGGGTACTCTGTTACTCTACCAGTCAAAATAGCTGACTCTCACTGCTACTATGGTTAAATTTCTCTGGCATAAGCAAAGGCAATCACATAAATTAAGATGAAAAACCAAACCAGAGCCTTATTTCAAATGAAGAAACAAGTATAACTTCTTGAAGAATATCAAATGTCCTCTTTGTAAAAAAAGGCAAACAAAATTAAAACCCTCTTTGCACTTCAGTGTCTCCTCACATTCCCTGGTTGCAGCTGGTTCTCCACACCGAGAAGACATTCAAAGAAGTTTTCATCAAGAAAGTCATTCAGATTCTTATACTTACATTTATGACCACAGGGAAACTGAACCAAGAGATTCTTTTTGCTGCGGGATTCATTTCTGTAAATCCTATGCAGCCCATAAAGCCCAAAATACAGGCTTCAGTTTTACACCTTTTTTTCCTTTATTGTGTCTAACAGCACAGACCTCTCAGGCAGAAAAGACAGGGGTGTCAGGGAACTAGTTACAGTGTTTCTTCCTGACATCCACTCAGCACAACTTTGTTCTGTAAAGTAAAGGCAAATGTTTTATGGTTTTACATCTGGAAAGCACTGCTTCATGTACCACTTGTTTTTTAGGCCAAGAACAATAGCATGAATTGCAAGCATGCTTATAGCACAGTTGTGTCTGCTCTGCAAAGCACACCTTGTTTCCCTAGGAGCTGGGGGCCAGGAATAGAGGACATGGCTATTCACACAACAGCATCTTCTCCAGTTTCTGCTCACACAGGAGAACAGTTAAGGACCTCCTGACTTCTCACACAAGATTTAGACCCAATGAGTGCAGCACTGTTAAGGATACCTACATTACATACCCTCTTTTTCTGTACCACTACTACAGGAAAGACACACAAGAGCAGAATTCAGCTATTTTCCTTCAACTAGCATTATCGCCTCATTGCATACATCTTTGATTACTGATCAGCAGAGACCTATGAGGAAGACTCTGGGCCTCACTATAGAGCCCGTTGAGGACAATCTGGATTACCCTGTGCTCTCTGATCAAGGAGATGCCCTCATTTTATCATGGTCCACAGTAGCGTTAGCTGGGCCTGCCTGCCACATGCCACTTCCACCCCACGGACCTGGCAGGATGTATGCGGTGCCTGGCCTCTGTCTGGAGCAGCTGAGGAAGGAAAAAGAAGGCTTTGTGAGAGGGAAAACACCCAACAAAAGAAGATGAAATGGAGCAATTAGAGTCTTCCTATGCAATCTCCAGCAAGCTGCCAAGCCTTCTTGCTGCAGCACTACAAGCAATTGCCTTTTTCAGCTGTAACACTTTTCACAGCCCGGACAGCAAGTGCTGCTAATTCCTAGCTGCCTTTTAGGAGTTTGCATGCATGTGCTGCTCTATTTAGAGGCCAAGGCAAAAATAGCTTTAGCACTCACCAGATGTACAGATACAAAATGCTTGTTGCAGTACTGCTGGCATTCAGCATATGGTTACCCTGATTTATTTCTGTTAAAACAGAAGCCAGTGTTTCTTCACACTGAATCTTGCCGTAGTAAAAATAAGGGGCAGTCTGTGTCCTGGAGAACTTAATTCAGCGATAAAGATGACATTTTGTCATTGCCCTTTTCCATCATTTCTGGATACAAGCACTTGAATGAAAGGAACCCACAGTATTGTGCATTATACCTCATGCATTTCATTTCCTAGGAAATAAGCAGTGAGTGTTGTTTATGCAGCCTGACAATGAGACCTGCTTTACAGCAACAGACCGTCCATTTTTGTGCTTAGGCTGATCAGGAAAAACATTTAAAGGATTTGCTCAGCAGTGAGATACTTCTGCAGTAATTCTGGAACATTGTATTTCTCTTCTGTCCAGATGTCTGTATTTTTTAACAGATACTTATGGTAGCTGTGGTTTTCAACTGTGTACAGAGGCAGCAAGAGCAAATTACCATAAAATTAGCATGCCCTGCTTCAGATTGTAATTCACATGAGGGGAATGACAAACCCACAGACCCTCTCTAGACCATCGTGGGATCCCAAAGCCCACCTGCATGCAAGAACTACATGGGAGAGATGAGGCTGTGAGAGGAACGAAGGGACAGGGCTTACCTTGAGATCAGCAAGGCTGGTCATGCCTCAACCAACAGAATCCAACTGAGCAAAGAGAAGAAAACTGGTGGTGAGCTATGAGGCGTCAGCTGCCTGTGTACATGGCTCAGGAAAACAGACGTGCACCATTCCTGGACCAGGAGACAGGCATGAGGCAGCCCTCTCCCAAGGCAACCTATATGTGAGGGCTCTGTTCCCTTGGGCACCTATTGCAACAAACTCACTGCTCTGACTGGCTGCTGTACTCATGTGTTAGTGCAACATTTCCCACCCAGGTAACATGCAAGGATTGCTTGGTAATTAATAAGGATATTGTCTGAAGCAGCACTTCACCAAGATACCAGACCAAATGATAATGCATTGCCACACGTACTCCTGCAGTTTAAACCACACAGCATTACTGTGTGGTTTGCTTCTTGCCCCTAAGAGTTACTGGGCCAAGCAAGACAAATGCAGTGTTGTGTCCTTACGGCAGCAGTCTTCCCAATATGTACATTGGAACACATTCATTGCCTGAGACCAATTGGGATGGAAGACATTATAGAAATAGAGGTTATTAATAATAATGGGACGGTATGTAAAAGTCAGTGACTCATTCATAGTATGTGTCTCATAGTACCAGTTAAGTTATAAAATGTAAACGCAATTACATGCAAGCTGAATATATTTGCCTTATTTTGCAGTGGAGTTTATATTAAACCTTCCCTTTCATGTTTGCATAATAAATGTGAACAGAGCTTTCTATTGCATTCGTACTTGGATGATTGCTCTTGGTTATTTAATAGTGTATGCTTTCTACAAGGGGAGGGAGTAAAATTAAGCTTTTATTATGAAACTGTAGAACAAAATTAAATGCAAATGTTTGCCTGGTGTGGAAAGGTGATTAACATATTTCATGTTAACTCACAGGTGGCACTTCTTATCACTGACAAGAAACTGCTGATACTATTGTTATTGTTATTATTATGGTGTATTTTAGTAACAAAACATGGAACAAAATAGGTGTCCACAGCTCCATGGTGCTAGAGATAGATATGCGGTGGAGATGCAGCCTACTGCCAGTATCCTGCACTAGCTAGCAGAATTTGCTACAGGAGATGCTGAGGGTGATTCACTCCTGCTGGCACAGAGCCTGTGCAGCTCATCAGCCTCTCACCAGCTGTTCATGAGAGATCAGTGGATCTTATGTGAACTTACTTAATGGTGGTGGTGGATCTCAGGAGGTGTGAACTTCTCATAGTCTTCTCATATCTACTTCCAAATCTCCCAAGCTTTGAGACATGATTCCAGATACAGCTGATTCAGCTGCCAAAATGCCACACAAACACTGAACAAGAAAACAAAACATACTGGTTTTGTTTTGTTTCACTCTTGCAAAGCAGAGGTGAAGAAATTTGTTGACCCTCACTAAAGAGTGAGGGTCAAAAAGATTTTTCAGTCTCTTGGCAGGACCCATACTAACAAACACCAAAATTTACACCACTTAACAAAAACCACCAAAAAACCCACCAACAAAGCAACTTCCTCCCACCTCCCCCAGAGAAGAACTGTCACAGTAGAACGCAGAGTAAAGAAGACAGCAGACGTAGAATATTATATCTGAAAACATGAAAGCTTGTTTCATGTACAAACAAGAAAAATGAAGAAAGGCACATACAATTATAATAAGGTTAGGGGAAGAGAGTATTAAAGAATATGATACAAACAGTTCCAAATATATCAAGAAAAAGAAGTGTGAGAGAGACTCTGTAGAACCAGTACAAGGTCAAGAAACACAGCAAAACATCAAACTGGCACACTGGAAGCAAAGATCCTTCCAGCCAAGGACCCTGCCTGTGTGAATGATAAATAGCAGATAATGTGAAAACCAGGAGAAGGACCGGTACTTCATCTCACCTGGCAATCTGCTGCCTGGGGAGTCTCTAAACCAAAACTTGCATCTGCCTCCTTCCAATTTTAACACTTTTCTCATACATCCTAGTAAACTTTTTCAAACTTAAAGCACTAAGGATGTGGAGAAGTATGGTAAGTGTGAGGTTTGAGTAGCTGGGATTCTTCAAGTATGAAAGAGAAGAAGCTGGTGTGCTGCCAGCAAAGATTCCTTTGCAGTCCCAAACTGCTTGGAGGTGAACAAGTCATAGTTTCTTGGAACAAAGAACTAGAGAGCATTAAAAAGAAATAGCACATAAATGTTTTAGAAGAAAGGAAAGGCAGAATTTTTCAAGCCATCATACGTTGGGGAGCTCACTGCCACGGGATGTGCAACTACACAAAGTATAAATGTGTTCAAAACAGACAAAACTCACAAAAGAAAAACCTGTCAATGAGTGCTGGCTATCACACACCCTTTCTTCAGAAAGTCCTGAAAGCCACAGGTGGCTGAAAGCAAAGAATTTGTGTCCAAGGAGGTTCTGTCTTTGTAACTTACCCTATGTTTGTATCGTTCCTCTAAGCACTTAGTACTGACATTGGGCTAGAGGGGTGCTTGGCCCTTCCCAGTACTCCCAGATTTTCTGTATGGGAATAAGGCACACAGATGAAATATGAAAGAGCTGGGGCATTATGAAATGAGCTAATGGATTACAGCTAGGTTTGGGATCTATTGTCCATATTCCAATTTTCATGCATGTACACATATTAAAATACCAAGTCAATTCACTTGACTTTGTAAAATGTAGGCTCATTGCCATTCAGAAAGATATCTTTTGTTAATAAGACACCATGTTATCAAACACCTTTTGTTTGCTCCTTCAACCCATTACGATTTATGCAAGCCCAGTAAAAGCCATCATGCCACTGTTTCCAAAGTGACCCTAATCTCAGTGTACAGTTCTTGGTTTTATGCAGATGCTAATTAACATAACTACAGGGCAAATCAGCACAATGTGACCAAATAAATAAATTTTGCTGTGTACATAAAAGAAAAAATTCCACACCCCATACCCGTTGGTTTTTCAGTCACAGTTGCACAACATTAATAATGTACTCATGATCTTAATAGAAAATAATCCCTTGAAAATTAATTACCACTAGACATTAATAAGCATTTTGTTAATTAAGCCAGTAAGCCAATTAGGCCCAAGGTGAACTTGAGGGCAATTAGCTCCATAAACAACGTGAGCTAGGTCTTAGAAGTGCACTTTCAAAATTTAAAGAGCATAGTTCTGGAGACTGGATGGCTTGTGGGATTGCTCATTACAGAACAAAGTAACGGCCCAAATCCAGCCCAGGTCAGCAGCAGCCAACAGCCATTATCAACCGGCAGCTTATCTGTCTGTGGAGCAGCTGGTCCAGACCTCATGTGAGACCTTACCGACTTGTAATTAACAGCTCGTTTCTCTAAGTAAACTAAATCAGAAAAGCCAGCAAAAAAGTAATTTAAAACTACCTCCCAGCAAAGAGCTTTCTCAAATTATAAAACAGTAGTTTTATAATTTATATCATTTTATATAATTTATAAAAATAAATAAAAATAGTGAAGAAAAAAGCACTTTATAGCTGATGCCCTTTTACTCCGGGTAAACATCAGGCAGCCAGCTACACACCTTGCTTGGGTCTTTTGCAGGCCACAGGCAAAACTTGCAGGGACAAACCAAAATGCAAACCAGATGCAAGCAATCAGCAGCTTCTCTATCTCCAAAGCCCACAGTGGGACCCATTCCTTTTGAGAGATCTGTGCTTCTCCATACTTAACAAACAGGAAGAAGATGCAAAGCATGCTGCTGGAACAGCTCTTCTGTGGGCTCAGCTGCAGGTCTTACTCCTTCAGACTCCTCCTGTCATTTTATTTTACGTCTTATCACTGGTCTCAGCCAGCTCAAGTACTTCAAGCCAAAAGCATCTAACTTCCCCTTTCTCTGAGCTGAAGTGAAGGGGTTTTGTCTCTGCAATTTGGAATGGATTTTCTCCAGCGTTCCAGCATTTCTCTAACTGCATTTGAGAAAGCCACCAGTAATAGTTTCAAGTTTGTTGACCAGTAAATCTGACCAATGTTTGGAGTGTGCATAGTAATGACTTACAACTCTCAGCTCCACAACCACATACGCTCTTGTTGCTTTCGTTAGTAGCATGTTTCTGAATTTGAATTATCATCTCAGCACTCCTGACAGCAACGAAGTGGATTAAAATGAAGAGAATGGGGAATTGCAGCTTTAAGATGCAGTTTTACACCTGGATGTTTCCAGAGGGTCAGACACAGAACATGGGAAGAACAACAAACTCCTCAAATAGTTGATGGTTGCCGGAGGGACGGTCCCATGCCTTGTGTCTTTTCTGAGGCTAACCACGCTGGCATTACTTCATCTTTCCCATCAGAAGCATGAACCACAAAACAGTGCATAAAAGAAAGTAATACCTACGTAGTTAAAAGGCTCTGAAACTCATAGGATATGAATGAGCAGCCAATTATTCTGTGAATAATTAGCAGCTAAGTTGGAACACGTTCAGGTATGTGTATAAGTCTCTGTAATTGTTTTTATTAATTTTTAAAAATGCTGGATCATCTTATCTACAGCCAAAAACATTAATACTTGCATTAATTAGTGTTCATAATACAGTGTATCTTTTGGGCTTTACTGCAGTCACTTGAATCGTTGCTTACAATGACTTTCCAAAAAAGATCACATTGACGAAGGAGTTTTAGGTTTATTTTGAGCATGGTGAAAAATATTTTTCTGGAAGAGTGGTCTAATTTTATCTTTAGTTGGGTTTTTTTTTGCTCTTTCTTTTGAGTGTTTTTTTTTTCCTCTTCCTGCCTTAGTAGAATGTGGGAATAACAATGTAGGCTTGACTATGCATATAAATTGAACAATTTGCAGTAATGCTCTAAAATGCCACTGGGAACAGAATTCAAAGGGCTGCTTGCAAAAACAATTGCTTTTAAAAAAAATTAATTTCTGAAAAATAAACGCTGAAATTGGCTAGGTGGGTTACAGGGTTGAAAATGGCAGAGAGAGACTTTCATCTGCTGGTCACGGCTTCAGATCCTATTTAGGCTGAAGAGCAACTGGAAGCCATTACTGTGACAAAGATATTTTGGGTCTCTGCAAATTTTAACACAATAATCTGTGCTGAGCTTATGAGCAAGATTGGAGTTCACTGAGAAGAATAGCAAAAGTCCCATTTTACTACTGGTTACAGAGAGGGCATTATTATTTATCCCACTGATTAAATATAAATCTTTCCTTGTTTTTAAATAGCAATCATTTAATCACAGACACTGTGAAGCAAAACAACATTCATATCCTTAGCCTACCAGTAGCTGCTTATCCTTTATCAGACATTTTTCCTGGTGTTATTGGTACTGCTTATGTACTTGCATGAACTTAATCACATGTGTAGGTCTAATTGGTCCTGCAATAGGAGAAGGCAGGAGACATTTAAGTCACTTAAATGAGGCTGGATGGAAAAATAAGAAACTGTTTTCAGGATGGAATCACATTTCAGTGAAACTAAGAACCTTAGGCAGTTTAAGGTCAGTGCAAAATTACTTTATGCTCTTTATCTACTTGTAAAAAGGCATCTACACATTTCCCCTATATAAAATTGCAGTATTTGGATATGTGTTTCTGTGTGCTTATTTCTGGTCTGAAACAGGATTAGCATCAGAAGTTTCAAAACAATCAGTCTGAATGAATCAGACCATATGAGATCCATCCCTTCAGCAGAGTCGGGTGCTTCGCAGAGTTGCTTCACCAATAGGTGCTACAGATGCTTCACCAAAAGCAGGGATGTCTGAAAATGGGAAGATGTCCAGACCACTTTTATAGGCATGAATGAGAACATTTTCCAGATTCTATGCCTGTTTCACAACTAAAGCCTGTGCTTATTTCCAAAAACTCATTTAAGTGAAAGCACATACAGAAACATGCACAACACTCATAAAGGTGCACAGTAAGCAGTTTATGAATGTGGCTGTTTATTTCTGGTAGTATCCACAATATCTTAAAAGATTTCCTCACAGAAAAGAACAGGTTGCTACCTAAGCAATAAACAGACTGAAGGTTTAAAAGATACGATGCTTGAGTGTTCAAGAGCAGCAATAGCAGCTTTCTAGGAATGCAAATGTGGTGAGAGGCTGCTCTAATGCTGAAAGAATATGGTTGTATTGTTAATTTTATTTTATGCTCAAATATACATGTTCATCTCTCTCCCTAGTTGTGAATATCTAACTACTCCATTTCATATAGAACTATGCTAAGAAGGGAGCAGGAATGCCACCAACATGAAAAACATGGCAAAAATGCTGGCTTCCTAGAAGAAATGGAAGGATGGGCTGACCTTGAATTCAATGAGG